TCGTGTAGCTTTGCGCGAAATTCAAAACAAACAAACAAACAAATATGTTCGCAGACATACCGCTGTACCACTGGGGGTCAAGAACAATTAGTATCGACAAAAGTGTTCAAGAGGGGTCATTACTTTGCTTAAATTAATTTTTTATAATATTTCCATAAATTTGTTTATATCTGATAGATGGCGCCAAAATACATTAACAGGTTGGTTTTACACGTTGAAGGTTAAAGAAATAATAAAAATAAGTTTTGTTATAAATAGTGGATTTAAAGTATCAAGATACACTTTCTTGTCATACATTTATTTTAAGCAAGTTTTGTTATAACATATTTATGTGTGTATATTATATCACATCTACATTATTTATTCGAACACACCTCCCTCTTTGTAATGGAATCTTCTGTATTTACAAACTAGGTTTTGATGTAGATGTACAAGATCAGCAACAAAGACAAGCTGGTGGCAGATGTCACTCTGTGTATTGGGATTATGTGCTAGCCTCATGTTGACAAAAGTGAGGCTATGTGTAAGGGCTTGTATCGTTGAAAAAGTGTAAACCTACGGTAATTTAGACTTAACATTTACGACAAAAATGAGGCTATGTGTTTGTATAGAGTTAAGTGTTACTACATCAAAGACTTGGTTGTAAACCAACATAGAATATTTTTTTGTTGAACTTCCAACGACTTATGTCAAATTCTTTGGAGAGTTATTCACGTACTAAGTAGTTTTGAAATGCATCATACAAATACTGGAACGTATCGTTCTTTCCTAACATCATTAAGCAAGCTAAAAGCTGGTAAGAAGTCGAAGAATACGAAAACGCAGGAAATCGAAATAAGAACAGAAGATGCAGAGAGCGTTAAAGACGAGAAAACTACTGGAAAGCGTCATCTCCCATCTCTGCTCGAAAGGGCGGTGAAATTCGAGGAAAGAGAAGACAAGCAGCCTGTACAATGTGATTCTGAGATTTCTTCCAACGTAAAAAAAGAGAAGAAAGTATTGTTTAAAATGGACGGAACAGTTCCTCCAAAGTGTAGCAACATTTTTACATCAAACAACGTAATTATAACTTCCAGAGAAGAAGAAGAAGAAGTAAATAACCTAACTCAGCAAAATCCAATACAAAAACTCAATAGTCGTTATTCTTGTCCCCCTGCTGTCCCGCTCAAGATCTCTTCTGCACAACCCAGTAAAGTATCTGATAAAAACACGAACGAAAAAAAAAGTGTCAATTCGTTCGACAGCAACGTCACCCCTAACAGCATTGTCGAAAACACAAAACAAACACAGAACTCTACTAGTTCAAAAGTAGAAAATTCCGAAAAGGTGAACTCTCATGGCCCAAAAGACTGCAGTTCTGAGGACGCGTATATATGGAAAGATATGACATTCCTCTTCGCGGATTTGGCTTTTAGGACCCACTGGCTCTTACGTGAAATCACTAAACACTTAGAACGACAAAATGACTTACTGAGGAACGAACTGAAAAAGGCGCGATTGGAGAACACCAAGGAACATTGCTACGTGGATTCTCATAAACTTGATATGCTAGAATGTCGACTAAAAACCCTTGAAAAGCTGATTGAATCACAAGGAAAACCTAAGATACATTGTTTGAAAATAAGTGAAGCAAAAACAAAAGGTGACTCTAATTTCAACGCTTCCTCGGTATCCACAGCACAAAAACATTACGCCCCAAGTTGCAAAGAAGAAAAATTAGCTTTGCTGAAGCTTGTCATAGATGGACTTATACCTCGGATGCAAAGGCTGGAGGAGTGGCATAGGAATAGCTCTCTTGTATTTTACGGCGTCTCTGGGGATTCTGAAGAAACTCCCACAAGCTCTGCCGACAGAGTTGCTCAAGTCTTGAAGAAGGCCCTGGGGCTTCAGGTAGGTACCTCCGGTATTTGTTCAGCGTTTCGACGCAGCTGTGGGCCTGTTGATCGAAACGGATCGTGTCCAATCGAAGTACATTTTTCGACCCCTAAACTTAGGGACGTAGTCTTACTCAAAGCCTATAAGCTTCAAACATTCAACATAAGTGTCTCGCCTCCTACAACGAGTCAAGCAACGCTACAAGATCAAGAATTGAAAAAGTTAATTTCAGTTGACAATCTCTTAACACCATGATGTAAGTGTAGTGTATGAGTTCAAGAAAAGTCTAATATTATTGTTTACAGAGCGATCGATGAAAATGAACTGTTATTAATTCGATTTTGCATGAAATAAGTAAACGATTTAAATATTTAAAACAAAATTACACAACGGGAGAACTAGCAATTTGCAAGCATTATGCTTATTTCATTTGAGTAATCAAACTCGAAACTCTAATTACTTTGAAGAATTAGTTTCTTCTTACGATATTATCAGACTGCGTATTTTTCAAAATAAAAATAATGATAGTGTTGTAAAAATAATAATATAGTGTTGTTGTTTTTTTTTTCCTACTGGCCCCCTCGTATTGACAAAATGCGTTTTGAAGAGGACCGAAACGTTGTCAGAAACCATCATGCGCGCGAAAACTGAAACGATATCATAGTTTTAAGTTAAATCATGTTGTTTCTGTAGAATTAGTTTTGACTTGTTTTTCTAATAGGTTAATCAGTAAGAATCATTAAAAAAAATTTTGAAATAAAAATGCATTTACGACACAAATTGATGATAGATCCAAAGAAACGAGCACAACTAAAACGTATTCTTTTCACTTCAGAAATAACAAAAAAAAAAGATAGCTAAGAAGGCGAAACCCAGGGTGAGAAGTCCTGGTGAAATCTCGAGCAGAAACGACGGAGGGAGAAATGTCTTGAATCCTGTCTAGATAATACAAATTCTTAGAACGTTCTTCGTGTGATTTTGAAGGAGCCGTTTACATGCAGTTTTTATTCGTATTATAAAATTATTAAAATATATTTTTTTTTATCTCAGTTGATAGTGCATGAAATGGTATGATAATTTTGAGTATAAATTCACAAACTTTAAAGTTTTGACTGTGAAGTTGAGGAGAATTTATAACTTTGCTATGGTATATAACTAGAATGAGTACTGTACTTATAAAACAGCTCTTATATTTGTATGTGTATGAAATACGAATAAATTCTTTTAAAAGTCTAACTTTTATTTATAAAGAATATTTTTGCTCTCGAAACCAAACTTTACCCTGGTGACACGCTTCTAAACTTTAAGGCTTTTACAAAATACAGTTTTTACTGCTCTGTGGTATATACACTTTATCTATTATTCCGGCAAACTCTGTTTGCTGACTGTTTTTAATAAAATAACGTTTCTGATTATTTTTCGAATGACAGTTTTTAACGGATCCTCCTTCCCTTTTTAAAAAGTCCCCCGATGGGTTAGCGGTTCGTTTACGGACTTATAACGTTAAAATTATGGGTTCCATTCGCCTTGGTGGACACAGCAGATAACCCAACGTGGCTCTGCCTTAAAACAAACAAACCTTTTAAACAATAATAGATATATTCAACTGATTTCATGATAACTTTCAAGTTAAGTAAATAGACTAGAATACCTCTTCTATACAAACAAAATACACAAGGCAGGATTCGCCTTGGAAAATAATTAGGCTTAATATTGGAAAGATGTATCCCTAACACGATGTTTTGTTTAGAGTTATATTTCAATATACTTATTTTATGTCATATATCAAATAGGTTTTTACTGCGGCTCATTTTAGAGCGGTAACATACCTATAGCCAAACAATTCTTATTCAATCTTTATCTTAGCTATATTTTTTTAAAAATACCGTATTTTTCGGAATATAAGACGCACCCTTATTTTGAAGACAAAGGTTTGGGAAAAAAAATTCAATTTGATACTTTAAAAATTAGTAT